TCCCACTACACTTTGACCGTGCCTACTGACCCGGTGCAGAAAAAAGGGGCGTCCACAGAGTCCTCGAAGCGCTCGAGGCCAACGACTGGGACCAGGGCGACATACCCTCCGACCTCGAGGACGACTTTGGCAGCCTCGAGGACGGCAGAGACGACCCCGAGAGCCTCGACTTCGGCGTCGACAGGGCCGACTTTGAGGGTCTGCGGCAGGCGATATGGGGCCTCGACACGGAGCCGCGGGCCGACGGCGACGTCGACAGCAACGGCGACGGCGAGGCCAGGGGCAGCGGTGCGCAGGACGAGCCGCTGGACGAGGCGACCGAGGTCGAAAAGCTCGAGAGCATGATGCGCAAGCTGCAGGCCGTGCGGGACATGAGCGCCGGCTTGCCGGAGGAGCAGCGGAAGAAGATGGCGGCCAAGGCCGTGAACGAGGTGATGAAGGATCTGTAGGCACTGCGCATGTAGCACTCTGTAACAAAGTCGTGCGCCTCTCATTCTGCTCGTGAGCCCGGTCCTTTCCTTGCTATGCAATGTCTTGGCTTTCCGTTTGGTCACAGCCCCAGCCTAAATACCGGGCTACGACGCATGGGAGCCTACAAGGGGTATCTCTTAGGCCCGAAACCGACCTCGTGTACAACAGTGCGTACTGGGCGCCCCAGATAATGGCAGAAGTCAGCTTCTGGGCCAGTCATGTGATATCGCTTCATAGCACTATATCAGATAAGAATCTTTAAATCAGGCGGTCGAGCGGCGGCTCCTTGGCTTCAAAGTATCTGAGACCGTTTTTGGGCTTGAAGGGATGACATGACTGGGTTCAGCTTGCGTTTATGAGATTTTGGCGTATCTTCTTGCGGGCACGCATGGGTTGTTACAAGAATGCTATGTAGTGTATTCCAGATCCTTGGAGGCCAGCGAGTCATCCTTCCATCTCGTTCTGGAGAGGCCGGCGTGGTACTTGACTCAATCGTGAATAGAGGAGACTTGTCTCCAACGCCAAATACATAGGCAGCGCTTGTCATGATATGGCTCCTTGCTATCATCTCAGCACATGTCTCACGGCGTCTGTGTCCGACTTGATCTTTTGCCCGCCGCTTCCAGTAGCCCTGGGTCCATCTGTCGTCTCCTAGATCGCAGCCTATTGCATATTGCCCAGCCCAGCTGTTCGATCGGGCATTTGAACCACAAAGCCTTGGAATTTTCGGACTTAGCAAGGCGATCCAACGGGCTGTCATTAACAAGATTATAAGCAGGCTAGGGCAAGGCCATAATCCCTCGACGGATTGCCCATCTGGACGCCACGAGAAGAAGACGGCCTAACCACGGCGAACCTCACCCGTCAGCAGCAGAGACGCCAAAATAAGGCAGCCCTCCATCCGAGCACGAGCGCCAGGAGGACGACACCCCAAAGCAAGCACCCACGTTAACCCGCAAAAGTCCTCCGAGCCACTGTTCTGCAGAAGAGCCCACACAAGACAAACCCCTCCGTGGATAGGCCAACGAAGACACATCAACACAATGCTAGGAATCGAATGGGAATTCTGTATCAAAACGATAAGGGACGCTAACTTCTTCAACGCGGTGTGCCCCAGACACTGAAACTGGCCATTCACATGGCACTCCGAGGCGCTGACGCCTAGCAGGATGATGGAACTAACCTCTGGCAACCTGCCCCCGATATGCTACAAGGAAAAACCCCTCGTTTAGATGAGAATTAGTCACAGTCCCCAAACGACCTCCGCGGCAGAGGGGTCTCCGCAACCAGTGACAGCTGGCGAGAAGGAATCTCCTTCGTTTGTAGTACAACAGGTCGGCGTAGGCCCGTCGGCCCCTTTAAGGATTCTAAGGCGTTTAAATATACATTCGTCATCAACCAACAAGGTGAAGCAAAAGCGAAGGCAAGGCAAGGCAAGGCAAAAGAAATCGCAATGCGTGAACTGGGAATCGAACCCAGGGCTCCCCGATGGCAACGGAGAATTTTACCACTAAACCATTCACGCCGTGAGATCCGGAGACGCGACGTCTCGGGTGGATGCTCGTCGTGCCCGCGGCGGAGCAAAATGTAGGTCTGTCCATTTTGTCGGAACCAAATCGGGAGTGACGGATTTGTGCGTCGGCGTTGTGCGGCGGGACCCCCTTTAGGCACTCGCCTGACATGTGAATTCTGACGATCTTATACTGCACTGTGCAGCGCAATGGATGCTTGAGGTGTTGGAGGTGTGCTTGGGTTGCGATCAGCTTATATTGGGTCTATCGTGTCCATCTACGGGTCTCAACTACGGCCCCGCGGTTTGTGCTTAGAGGTTACTCGTGAGTTCGGCTTAGGGGCATTACATTGCGTACCCATCATAGATCAATACAACATCTGCATTCTTTGGTTGGCAACATGATGCGAGTCCCATGGACAACTACAGGCATATACAGACACGAATTTCGGCATGGCACCGACAACGACGGACCTTACTGACAGACAGCCATCTTGAATTTGCAAAAGAGATCTATAACGGGTATCGACACATCATCCAATCACCTCTGCTCGGGCGAATACGCCGGCAGCTCCTCTCCGCCTGTATTCCCTGAACTGGCCACAGCTGGCGCGGCCACGGCAGATGGCGCGGCCGTCGACGGGCTGCCTTGGCCAGATGCCCGCCGCGGTCCGGCCGGGGCCTTCGCAGGCGCGACGGCCCCCCTGGCCACGAGCATCTGCACAATCTCGGGATCCGCGAGAACGGCGACCAACGCCGCCGGCTTCGCAGCCCCAGCCTTGTTGATGTCGGCCCCCTTCCCAAGCAGCTCCCTGACGAGCTCCGTCTCCCCCATGACCAGCGCCTCGACGAGCGGCGTCTTGCCCTCGGCGTTGGCCTTGTTCGGGTCGGCGCCGTGCTTCAGCAGCAGGCGCGCGTTGCCGAGCATGCCCTGCGAGAGGGCGTACAGCAGCGGCGTGTCCTGCCTCCTGAACATGTGGTTCGGGTCGGCGCCGCGCTCGAGAAAGGCACGCAGGAGCGACGTGTTGCCCTTTTCGAGGACGTGGCACAGCAGACGCTCGCCCCACGAGTCGTACTGGTTGGGGTCGGCACCCTTGGCGAGGACGGCCGTGGCGAGCTCCGACTCGAACGTGTCCGTGAGCTTGGCGCCCTCGACGAGCTTGCCGAGGAGGGAGCGGCCGACATAGTCCGAGGCATTGGGGTTGGCGCCGCGCTCGAGGAGCAGCTTGGCCAGGGCGAGGTTGCGCTTGCCGACGGCAACGTGCAACAGAGAGTTGCCGGTGAGGTTGCTCGCGTTGACATCGGCGCCGTTCTGCAGCAAAAAGTCGACAATGTCGAGGCGGTTCTGGGAGAGGGCGAGGTGCAAAGCCGGCTGGCCCGTAATGTCCCTCGCATTGACATTGCCGCCATACTGCCGCAAAAGGCGCAGGTGGTCGAGACTTCCCGCCTGGAGGGCCTGGATAAAGACAGAGCGGCCGTTGATGGACGTGGTGTTGGGGTCGGCGCCGTGGTCAAGGAACAGCTTGAGCATGTCGAGGCTGGCACTGCTGGCGACCTCGACGAAGAACGGCTGCCCCGTCCACGTCGAGCTGTCGCGGATACCGGCCCCGGCATCAATGAGCAGCTCGGCCATGGCAACGTGACCGCACTCGGCGGCGTGGAAGAGAGCAGGCTTGCGCTGACCGCTGTGGGAGTCCCTAAAGTTGAGCTGCGCACCGGCCAAGAGCAGGTAGCGCACGGCGGCGGCCTGGTTCGCGCGTGTCGCACAGATGAGTGCCGTGTATCCGTCTTCATTCTGCCCGTTCATGTTGACACCCTGGGCCACGAACCCCTTGAGGTGGGCGACGTTGCCGTCCTTGGCCGACTCGCACATGGTGATGACCATTGGCTCCGGCTTTGGGCGTAAGCTCGCCGTCATGGCCTTGAACGAGTGCGACAAGGACGAGAAGAAGCCGTCCGTAGCCTTCTGCTTGCCCTTGCTGTCGGATGCCGACGAGTACTCCGGCGGCGGCTGCTCCCGCGACGATGGCGACGGCGAGCGAGCATCAGCAAGCAGAATGTCCCCCATGCCCAAGACGCGCGCCGAAGCCTCGACAGCCTGGTCCAGCAGCGTCCGGCCCTGCAGCGCCACGAACCTCTCTTCCTGGGCGGTTGGGGATCTTGCCGTGTCAGCACATGTCGCACGACTGAGAAGAGGAGAGCACAAAAAAAAAGAAAAAAAAAGGGGGGGAGGCTCACATGTGAACGACAGCAGCAAGAACGGTAAATAGGCGCATATTCGCAGCATGGCACCGCGCAAACTCGTCGACAAGCTCGACATTGAGCGTCTCGACGTCAAACCCGCCGCCGAGGCGCTGGACCTGCTTCCCGATGACAGCCGACGCGTCATGACACGGCGGCAGCGCCACCTTGAGGGCGCTCTGCACGGACGGGGAGGGGGGCGGATGCGTCGAGGTCTCGGACCCAGGAGCGGGAGCAAGAGTAGGAACAGGCGCAGGAACAGGCGCAGGAACAGGAACAGGCGCAGAGGCCAGGCCGGCGTGGCGCAGGGCGTCCCGCAGCGTCTCGACGGCCTCGCGCAGCTGGGCGAGGCCGCCGGCGAGGGCGAGGAGGCTCTGCAGGCGGTAGCTCTCCGGCTCGACCGTCTTGACGAGGCGGTCGAGCTCGGCGTGGGTCGAGACGACGTGGGTCGTGATGGAGTCGCAGGCGGCGGCGGCGGCGAGGGCGGCCGGGGCACCCGAGCCGGCGCACATGATCATGCTGTCTGCGTGGGCACGTTGGTTTGAGGAGGGAACAGAGAAAGTGAAGAGACGAGCTACGAGTAGAGTGTGCAATGGACAAGTGTGCAATGGCTCCAATGCTTCTCTCTCTTATGTGGTCGCGTGTTGACCATGATGTATTTGGCCCTTTTGCTGCTGCCTGGGCACGAGCTTCAGCTTGGCCGCAGGAAGGGGGAAGGAGCCATGGAGGGGGGATTAGGCTCCCCTCAATTGACCCTATCGCTCCTGCCTCCCCTCCCGCATGCCCATCAATCACCTCGAATGCGGGAGGCGGAGTGACGGACTGGAAAAGAGCGACCCCAGATCCCCCCTGGCGGCCTCGAACGTCACCGTTCATTGGGCGCAGGAACGATCCTTCCAACGGCCCTCCAATCATGCCCTCGACACACGTATACGAGCCGCGTGGACTCCTTGCCCGTTGCCCGTTGCCTTCGCTCTTGCTCGACTGACTTGACGGAGACGTAGGGGGTAGGGGCTGGCACGATCCAAGGTATGATTGCCTCTACCGTAAGGTACTCTGGTACTCTAGAACTACTCATGTTACTCCTGTTACTCCACCCTCCATGAACTGCTTCCCTCATCGCATCGTCGCCTCTACCTCTGTGAACTGCCCCCATCGATGCAAAGTGGTATCAAGAGAAAAACGCCAAAAGTTCCCAGTCAAAAGAACGCGCTCTTACCCCGACTCAATCAACACAGCCGCCCCAACCCAACCATCTATCTTCTCCCTGACACTCTTACACGTTGGCTCGACTGCCCCCCGTCGCCCTCATCTCAATCGACGTCTCCTCTCCGCCGCTGTCCTTCGACAGCCACCGCGACGCCTTCTTCTTCTGCTGCTGCTTCTTCGCGCCCTTGACCTTGCCGAACCCCTTCTCAAACGGGTCGCCTCCGTCCTCGACCTGCGTCACGTCGAGCCGCTGCTGCGACGTGTCTGCCGAGCGCGGCATCACCCCCTGGTCCTTGGCATCGAGGGCCTCGGCGCCGTCGCCCTCCTCCGCGTCGGCGACGGCGACCCCACGCTTGAGGGCCTTCTTCTCCTCGCGCTCAACCCGCTGCATGAGGTCCACGTCGTGCGGAAAGTACACCCGACGCATCGCGTGCACAAGCAGCTCGAGCACGAGCACGGCCCCGAGCGCCACCAGCACGACGGCCCAAAAGTTGGCCGTGCGCCCAAAGTTGTCAATGAACGCCCGGCGGATCTGGTAGATGCGCAGCCTCTCCTCGAATATGCCCGACAGGATGAGGTTCCACAAGAACCAGCCGCCGACCGACAGGAACACGCCGAGGAAGCTGATGATCGTCTTGGTGTGCATCTCGAGCACTCTGCTTCCGTGTTAGCACCACTGGTCCCCAAAAACATGCAAAAACAAAATCGGAACGTACAAAAGCCTGAGATTGATAAACACGACGCACACCGTAAACGGAACCGTGCCCATGGCGTACAAAGACGTGTCCTGGTCAAATGGCAGCTTGTCATAGACGCCCCAGGTGATGTAGTAAATGACAAACGACTCGGCAATGCCCATGATTGTCCAGCCGAGGTACAGCCACAGGTTGATGGCCGAGCTCCTGTGGCCGTATGAGTAGAGCTCCGGGTACTTGAGCAGCGTCTCGGCGCTGAGATCCTTCTCAAAGGCGCCCAGGAAGATGACGGGCAGCGACGTGAAGAGCGTGTTGAACACGGTCAGACTCCAGTTCTCGTACAGAGAGGTGCCCGTGTAGCCGTTGAACCGCTGGTAGTGCGCCTGCGGCAGGAAGAAGACAATCTCCTTCCAGAACGTGGCGAGGATGTACTTGCCCGTGCGGAGGTAGTTCCACCGCCCGTGGACGAAGAGCAGCCGCTGCAAGAACCGGAACTGCGCGATCGAGTAGTCCGAGATGCGCGCCGCCTGCAGACCCTCGCGGCCCGAAATGCCAATGCCCACGTGGGAGGCTTGGATCATGCCAATGTCATTGGCACCGTCGCCAATGGCCAGAGTCAGCGACTTGGGAACCTGCCGGCGGATGCGTTTGACGAGGTTGGCCTTCTGCGCGGGCGACGCGCGGCAGCAAATGACCGAGTCGACGCGGCCAGCCAAATCGTAAAAGAGGTACGACAGCCCCTCGTCATTGTCGATGGTGCTGAGCGTCTGGCCGTCGACCACGACGACCGTATGCGGCAGCATGCCACGACCGACCTCGGCAAGCGCGGCCGAGATGGATTCATTGATCGGGCCCGTCGTTGCGTCGAGGATGAACAGCTCGGAGAATGGCTTGCACAGCCGTGCCGAGTGCGCAATGTTGATGGCCGTCTCCCGCTTGTCGCCCGTCAGCATCCAGACCTTGATCTCGGCCCGCCGCAGCTTGTCAATCGTCTCGGGCACGCCCTCTTGCAGCTTGTCCTCGATGGCAGTGACGCCAGCAAGCTCAAACTTCTCCTCAATCAGTTCGCCCGCCGCTTCAATCTTCTCTTGGCGGTTGTCGAGGCTCGTCGTTGCCTCGGCGTAGATCGCCCTCCACTTGGTATACTCGCCCTCGTCAAGGTACCGGAAGCCGTACAGCAGCGTGCGCAGGCCGTCCCTGGCAAAGTCGTCAATGTGCTGGAACGATCGCTCAAAGATGGTGCCCTCGTTGAGCGCCGCTGACTCGTCCACGAGCCCGTCAAGCGCGTCGTCGTTGCGCGAAAAGGTCGTGCTGGGCCGGGGCGAGTGCATGAGTCCGATGGGGCTCTGCAGCGGCGTGTGGAAGTCCTGGTCCTCCAAGGATCCCCTCCTGGTGCCCCACGGCGACGAGCCTTCGACCAGGGCACTACCCCGCCGGCTGCCCTCGATCGACATGCGGTGGCCGTCCAGGAGGTGACTATGTCGCTTGGACATGGAGGGCCGGCCTAGGGCCATGCTCGTGCGCGGCGTGCTGTTGCTGATCCGCCTCTGCTCCTTGCCCTGCTCCATGCTCCGATGCTTGCTCGCCTTGAGCTCGACGGCGCTGGCTTTCTGCATGGCCAGATGGGCCAGCTTCAGCCGCGGCAGGATGATGCTGTCGGCACCCTTGCAGAAGACGCAGATGCGGCCGTCAGGCATGCGGATGATGATGGACATGCGCTTACGCTTGCTCGTGAAATCAATGACATCCAAGACCTGGTACGTCTCGCGCACAATGTTGCCGTCGGGGCCAGGGAGCTGGAGAATGACCTCCTGGTTAGGTCGGTCGATCATGACGTAGCCGAGGTCGCGCGCAGCTTCAACGAGGGCCTGCTCATCCGGAGACGCAGATTGTACTCGGTCTGGCCGTTCTTGCCAACCTCGGGGATGCAGGTGTGGCAGAGGCCACGCACAATAGAAATTGCTTGGCCTTTTTGGATATGGCGTGTTCGGTTTACGGCGAGGTAGCCGACCAGCTCTTCCGTCTTGAGTTCGGGCTCATCTTCGGCTCGCGCGGTCGACGCCTTCCACCTCGTCGAAGACATGGACTGACGGCCCGGCTGGGTCGAAGCTGGGTTCGTTTCAATGGCCTTGCTCTTTTCGGACTTTTGCTTGTCCTTGCCCTTGCGCTTCTTGCGCGCCATGTCGATCAGTTTTTGCTTGGCTTCCTCGTCCCGCTCGACGTCCATATCGTGCAGCCACGCCGTGCCAGCGACGCTCATCTTGCGGAAACGCATCACGTTCTCTGTCAGCGTGCCGGTCTTGTCGGAAAAGACATAGTTGACCTGACCCAAGTCCTCGAGAATGGTTGTTGTGTTGGCCACCATGGGCGTGTTTGTGACGGGGTCGTACATCTCTACATCGCCCATGAGGTAAAACTGGATCACCTTGATGATCTCCAAACTAATATACAACGACAGTGGGATGAGGGTGTTGAACATGATGATGTACGCAATAAAGACTTCCTTGAAGCTGAGCGTCCTACCGCCGAGGAACCACGAGTCGTCCTCTTGCGGGTCTCGCCAGATATAATAGCCACCCGTCAGGCCGCCACTGAGGGCGAGAAGCACAAAGACCAGCCAGATGATGCAGCGGTTCGCGACGGATTGCATGCGCGGTGCCTTGGCGTGGACGTGCTTGCTGGCGTTCATGCGAATCTTGCACTCCTCGCCCGTGTTGACGACGAGACCAATCGTTTCGGTCGTGTTACGAACGACCGAGCCACGGTACACCACGTTGTTCAGCGAAAGTGGCATCGTCTCTTCCTTCATGGTCACGCGGCCGTCGTAGCGGTAGAGGTCGATATTCGGGTCTTCAGACACGACCGTCGCATCGCAGGCTTTCAATCCCTGGGCTGTGCCACACTGCTCGGCCAGCATGGGGAGCGCGCGCTTCGCCTTGAGGTTCGTCTCGCCATCGAGAGCCATCGTCTCGATATAAGCCACGCTATGCGGGTTCGTGGCGTGCAGGAGAACTATGTCAGCCGGCACATTCTCGTCTCGTCGAAGGCGCACAATGTCGCCAACCTTGACATCCTGCCACTGAATCAAGGACCAGTCGCCGTCTCGGGCGACCTGCGACTCGCCCATGTCATGCATGGGCAGCTCGTCGCCGCCGTCTTTGCCGCCGCCGTGCTTCTTCGTCTTGTTCTTGACGCGGTGCAGTGCCCTCATATCCTCGCCGAGCACGAGAACCTCGCTGCGGTTGTCGGCCTTGTCCAGCAGATATCGCCGGTAGTCGTCGTAGCCTTCTTTAGCCATGGACAGTGACACAAAGGCCATCAACGGTGCTATCGTTGTCCAGCGACCCGTCGTGCTCAGTCCGGGGATCATCTGCATGATGGAGATGACGAGGAAGTAGGCGTTGCCGAGCTTGCTGAACTGGAAGATCAGCTGCTTCGGCAAAAAGTCCCAGACGGTGTAGCGGCTCGAACGGATAAAGTTGCCTGTGTACGGTTTCTGGGCACGCTCGTCGGTCAGGAGATCGGCACGTTTCCTGCCTGGCGTGATGGGGATGTGGCGGCCATCGGCGCTCGGCGGCAGGGGCTTCTGGCGCAAGATGCCCTCGATGACGACTTTTTGGTAGAGCATGCGAGCCCGGGCCGCAGCGGCATCTCTCCTGTCGAGCCATTGCATGCGTTTCGTCAGGTGAGGCCGTTGGCTGGGGAGGGGCGTTTTGGGTTCGTCGTCGATGGTCGAGTGGGAGACGGCAACGTCGACGTTCTTGGTGGGATCGCCGCCCGTCATGGTGACTTGACTTCGGCGGTGGGCTTGCAAGTCAGATATGTACGGTTGCTGGCGAGCGAGATCCTCCTGCAGGCCATCGCTCGAGACGCGGATCTGGGGCGTGGCGGCGCCGTCGATAGATTGGGCGCTTCGCATGGGCTCCGTGTTGGCTCGTTCGGCGTGCCGCGGCCGTCGCGATCGAGTATCAGATGTCGTTCCAGTCAGGTTCGACGGGTCGTTGGGATTTGGGCCGTCGTCGTCAATGGTGCTGTAGGAGGAAAAAGCAGGGACCCTTGGGCCGGGTCGGGCCATGATTCAGTAGAAATGTACACGGAAGGGGAAGGGGGGGCGGGCTGAGCATGGGCCCCGGGGTTGCTGGGAGGCGGGTGGATTGAGTTTCTGGCCGGTGGGCGATCCAGGGAGACGGATCATTCGTCGGCAGGCAGGATGAATGGGAGAGGGATTGAGGATTGCAAGAGACTCGGTGCGCGTTCCAGCAACAGATTCGTGTCTGTTCTGCGTCGTCCTTTGACCTTGATTCGATTGGGCTGTTGACTCGTGTTGGACCTGATACGAAGCTACGAAGCCCGGCAGTCCAGGGTACACGCGTGCGCGTAAAGATAGAACAGAGTCGAGTCGGTCGTCCTTCGGGGCGGAGCGGAGTTTAGGTCAGGGTAGTCGAAGACGGACGTGACGGCCAGGCAGAGAAAAGACAAAAGAGGAGGAGTGTGTCGCATGCAGCGCGGGTATATACAAGTTGAGATATCGATGCAAAGATGGCTGATGAAGGCCTCAAGCGGCCACGCAAAGAGGGAAAAGCAACAGCGGTGGAAGGACCAGGGGAGCAGGAAAGAAGAGAGAGGTGAAAGGAAGGTCCCCGACAAGAACCACAATACAAGCTCAGGCGTCTTCTCGTTGACGCTGCTTCTGGTCTCTAACCCTGCCCGTTGATCATGGCCGTTGATCTCTTTTGGGTCGTGGTCGAGGGCGAAGGAGATTCGAGCTGCAAAACTGACGAACTGAAAAGGCTTTGGTGGAGCAGCCTTTCTCGTCATCATCTCCGTAGAAGCCGGGGGGGAGAGGGAAGGCGGGCATGAGGAGGCACGGCAGGACCAGCACGGCTGCGGATACCCCCCCCGAGAAGGTGCACTGCCACGATGCACCTGGCCAGCTTGTTGGCACCTGCCGCTCCCCTCATTCGCCCGCCAGGCATACCTGCGCCGCTAGATTGCCTTACCCAGACTTGCCAGAGCACTAGGCTTCCGTCTATGCAACACGAGAAACCTCTCTCAGCCAGAGCCCAGCCCATGTGCTCTTCGACCAACCCACGGCAGACGTCACCGGCGCCCAGAATATAAACTCAGACGTACATGTACATGTACGTCGGGGGAAAGCCAGAAATGCCATGTCGGGAAAGACCGCTAGCGAACGAACGCTCGTCATCCTCCCTCCATTCCACAACGGCTGCCACCAAAACTCGCCAATCTATCGTGCAAAGTCTCAACCCTCCCCCCCCCCTGCCCGTGGTGCACGCTTCAAGCATTAAAGTGGTATTTTTTTGCATCAATCCAGAAAACAGAAAAGACAAAGAAAAGGGGGTTCCCCACCCATCAAGCTCTCGTTCCAATCACGTCGAATCCTTCAGCGCAAGCCCACACCCATCCCCAGCCAACGCCTTCTGATGGCCCCCCTAATAAACTCTCTGAGCGCGAGCCCGTGCGACAACTCTATCGCGGCCCCTGGTCTCGCCGCCCTTTTCCCCCTGCCCACCCACCCCACAAATCCCCTGATGCTTGAGGTACCTGTAGGTAGGTAGGTAGGTAGGTAGGGTCGGTTGTCTTCAGCTGCGCGGCCCTCGCTCGCCATCCCGATCGCCCCGGAACCCCGAACTATGACCTCGTCCCCCAATCCGCCGACCCCGACCTGTGCCAGAGACCTCTTGGCCAGAAACTATGGCACCGACACTTCCACGCCAGCCGATTGGACTCACCAGGAACGACTGCTTGCATCGAGAGCCACATCCAGTCCTACCAGCCCAAGCAGCCCACCAGACACTAGACACTTCTGCGCCTCACACCACCACATCATCACGACACGTCAAGAGGGGCTCAGCTGCGTAATGGTATGATGACCAGTGATGCCTATTCCTTTTCCCCCTCCCCTACTCTCTCCGTCGCACTCCTATCTACACTGTCAAAGACCTACGAGCCAGTCGTCTCTTTCGAGGAACGACCCGCTCCGCCCCAACCATGCCATGACCCCAACGAGCCTCCGGTTTCCCAGACAGCCCCAAGGGACCATGTTATCAGGGAGCCTTGCCCCCCGCCCCCCCACGCGTTTCACTCTGTACCGCAATACAGGACGAACCAAGCACCTGGGAGATGTATCCACGTGTTTTTTCTCCATCTCCGCGAC